TCAAATTATTATCTATGTACTGAACCAGCCACAACTGTTAAACGCTAAACAATCTTGAAGAACATATGAACACATTTATAACAATTATATTCAGCATGCTGCAAATCTTAAAATGCTGTTCAGCACTGCAGAGATCTGATAGAAAAAATGTGCATTCCTCTTGAAATGGGTTCATAAAAACACTTAGCACCTATTTAGGGATCATAGGTATGTAGGATCATATACAGACTTCAGTATTGCCATCTCAAGTTTCTAAACTAGGACACTAAACCAGACTAATTCTGTACCTTTTGCAAAACCTTACCTTGTAAGGTAGGCTGTCAAATCATGCCTTGTCACAGTGCTTTTGCACAAGACAAATGATATTACAAGGTGTGAGGCAATGGGAGGCTCAGGATTGTGCAAGGTCATGGAAACTGAAGTCAGGTCTCCTGGCTGAATCATCAGGTCCCTGATTGAATCATCCTACCACCACTGTTGAAAGGATTTGTTTTATGAATGTGTTAGAGACGTGTCAGCAGATTTATTATTATCCCAAGAATATTGTGATTTTTTTAATAGTTACAGAGACAACTAGCTACATTCTTCTAAAAAATACTTTACTTCAGTAATTAAAATTAAATAAAAAGTTTTAATTTGGTCCAGAATCTACCTTTGAGGTATAGGAAGAAGTAATGCTCAGAAACTGAAGAAAGAAAAGCAGAAAGAGAGCGTTGAAAAGAGATTAGGAGATGGAAGGACAGAAAGAAGTGATGAAAGGTTGTGAAAAATCATGATAAAAAGGTTAAGAAGAGAAATAGTAGTTAGACACAAACCAAAACAAGCTGGTAAAAGATCCCTTCTCAAAACCAAACTAACAATATTAGGGAGAATCCACCATTCCATTGATAGCAATCTTCTGCTATGAAGGGACAACAACCTAGTGCATTACTCCCACAGATGGAAAAAATCTGTCTCTAGAACAAGCCCCAGAGAGGCCACTATCAAGTAGCTTCAGAGGTGAACTTAGCTAAATGTAAGAGATTCCAGTTTCCAGGAGAAAGAATCTTTCTCTGCCTGACAGAAACACATACTGTGTAAAAAAAAAAAGAAAAAAAAATCCTGTTATATCTTTTCATGAATTTTTGCTGACTGTGTTCAAATACATGGGTGCAAACTGCATTAGAAGGGTACAATTAAAATACATTTGTCACACAGGTCCTGGTTTTTCAGTAGAGGTTTGCTGCTGCGGCAGGTGGTCTTGGCTACTGAGAATCAAGGTTCGTTTCAGAATTAGAAACAGGTAAACAAAGTTACATTCATCCCCTCTAGTAAATGCCACAAAGAGAGTGAAATAAACAAAATCAATGGAATACTGAACTTCCACATTAGTTTAGAAGTCCTGTATAAAAGCTTGTGCCACGACAGCCTGACTGCAGCAGTTGACTGGTTTAAGCACCAGTTTTACTCCTGGCAGGGCAGGGGGCAGCAGCCCCGGGGATCCTCAGTGGGGCGAGCACGCTGCCAGCCCTGCAAAATGGCCATGGCAACAATTTAAACCCTGCTCATTTCCACTGTGATTCCATGCCAGCTCTGGGGAAAAAAAATCCTGCTGCGTGTCTGCTGCTGAGAGAGCCAGAGGAGGGTGTGTGGTCAGCACAAGTGAAGGGAAGTCGAACTGCTATAGTGAAGAGAAGGAGCATTTGACACATCAGTAGATTGGAAAATGCCAGCATAGCATGAAGCGTGGAAGCTGTGACTCATGCTGCCATTCCATCACTGGGGAAATGAGAAGGAAACACACAGGTCTCCAGGAGATGCAGAAGATCCATCAGCCAGCATGATGAATATGTTTCAAACACACTGTGCCATTATTTTTGGGCTGTCTGGGAATATGCCTAATGTATATTGTCCTTGCAGACCTCCTGAATGGTATTACTGATCTTTCTTCAAATACTGTTTAGGAGTTTTCACATAACCTCCTTAACATGGACCCATGGGTTTACTGTTCTTGTGGTTAGACTGAGTTAAGATGAAAGAGTTCCCAGTTTCCTCCCTTCTGCAACACAGAACCTTGATAGAGCCTCTAGGCACATTGTGATGTTCAGTAAATAATTAGACAAAAGTAATCTCAACACACAAGAAAATTGTAATTAATATAAACAGTCTACATTAATCACAGAAAACCCTCATTTTGCATATGCCAGTTCAGCAGAAACCTGACCCTGTTCTGTAGTCTTACCTGTACCCATTTCATCCAAGCATACTGGGCATACAATTCATACTCATTGAGTACCATAAGATGCTTGTTACTAATCCTTTACCACTTCCTCTTTACAACGAGCTTTTCTCTCTTTTCTCCTCATTCCTTTTGCAAAGATTCAGCTTTGCTAATGCAACCACGTCTTCCTTTCTGGTTTTATGTGCGACAGAATTCTCGCAGATTCAGTGACTTGCTATTCACTCTTCACATGGACACCTTCTCGTTTAGACACTATTCCATGTATTATGATTTGCCTCTTTCTCATACTTAATTCTGCAAGTTCCATATTGCAGGCTGGGTAATATTCTCATGAGAATGTATAGCCTTAAAAAAAAAGGTGTGCATGATCCTCATAAATACTGATCAGAAGGCTGTTGTAGCTCTTGATAGGACACAAGAAATTCTCAGCCATGCTGGAGGAAAGCCTTGTTCAGGTCTTGCTCAGGTCTGGAGACCTAGCACAGACAATTCTGGTTGATTAGCTGAGTTTGGTTTTCCCCTCAGTTGATATCTTAAGGATTTCAGGAGTACTTTCAGGCCAATGAGCACGTGGAGAGGCTGGACAAGGGAAACACGCAACTTACTTATGTCCTGCACAGCAAATCCACACACCCTCCAATTTTCTCTGGCATATGACTCAGATTTAAAATTGGGTATAAGATTTTAAACTTTAAATATTTAAAATAATGCACTTTGAAATGACAGTCTGGTCCAAATTTTGCAAAATTACCCTTATTTTCAGACATAGTAAATCAAAATCCCAGAGCTTTATACCCCTCTGGTGTAGAACACTGAGCGTTCCACTTAAGATTTCTCTGACCACCCAGTCCCTCAGCAGCACACTGAGGGCAGCTTCAGACATGCTTTCTGCTATGTGCTCTTGATTGACTATTCCTATTTCTCCAAGCAATGACCCCTGCTCATCATAATAGGAAATAAAACCTTGCTGAAAATACGATGCTTGGATTCCTTCTTGTCCCAGAATTACTGGGAGGGAAATGGATGTCTCTCAAGTGCAGAATCATATGCACAGTGGTCTCTTAACGCTTGCTCAGAGGTCTTTTCCATTTTCACATAAATCTTTTTTATGTTGTACTCCCACCAACTAGTAATTTTATTTTTGGCTTCACTACAGTAAACTTAATTTAACATTATGGCTTTTTGGTAGTTGTTGGTCTGCTTTTATGACTAATGAGTTTTAGACAGGAAATTCATAAAAACAGAACAAAAACATCTATAATAAGCATGCAGTAAAGACAGGTCTATTTTTCCTTAGAGTAATTGTATGCCTGAGCACAAAAGAATGAGAAAGTTGCACATTAGGCTACAAAATCACCATGGAAGGTCAATCACAAAAACTTTAATTGAGATCTCCAAGCATCAGATGAATGTCAGGATAGAATAATAACACAGAATGTCTGTTCAAGTGTGCAGCCATTCAGCCCACACACCCTCTACCTTGAGCAGTTATCCTACATACTACGGCAAACCCACACACTTCTCATGGCTGTCACTTGTAATGTTAGTCAGGTTTGTTGGCTTGTTTTTTTTTTTTTTTGTGGGTTGTTTTCTTTCCTTTTTTTAATGAAGTGCAGCTTTTAATCACAGTGTACTTCAGGTGATAGACTATAGAATATTTCTAGGTTCAAAGAGAGACAAAAAGTTTTAGAGGCAGCTTCAGACTGCGTGGTTCAATATTTTAGCAGGCATCGTGCAGAAAAGTGTTCAAAGATGAAGATGTATCTGATCAATGAAAGCTGGGGACTCCTTTCTAGCTCTGCATATACAAGAACAGGATGGAGATATGCTTAGAAAATGTTTGTAACATTCTGGAAACCAAACCAAACCCTTCTCTGTCACATTATGTAGAAAAATTCATAGTCTACTGGTTAAGAGGGAGGTTATACTCAATATATATATATATATAACTAACACTGCTACTACCTTTGACTTATTGGAAGAGTTACATAGAGTTACAATACAAAAATTACATAGGAGTTACACATTTTTTATGCAGTTCCCTTTACATGCAAAGGGTGAAAAAGCCCTGGTCTCTCAACCATAGCAGAAATCAGTCCAACTGGAAAGCTGTAGTTCCTAGCCTCCATTTATCCAGTAAATAGCTCAAATACTTCTCTAATAGCCAGATTCCTAGTGATTGTTCCATTCATGGTTTTAATTTTCAATTGTTCCATTCTCTGTTTCTCAAAGCTTTACCCTACTTTTTTCACGTATTCATACTCACACCCCATCAAACAGCATCCATCAAATCCTCCCCCTGCATGTTATGGTTTTGGTGGTGCTGGATGAACCTCTGCTGGGGACAGTGACTCCAGTTAGCAGCTCATTGAAAGCTCTGACTGTTTTAACCTATTGAGTTCCACTTGCATTTCTATCAAGCTTCCTGGTTGTCAACCAGGCAACTGCTCATCAGCTGTGTGTGAATAAAATCCAACTGCCCAAGACTGCCTCTCACAGCAATCTACCTACTAGCAAAGTATGGGTGGGCAAAAAAAAGAAACTGATTCCTGGGCATACTTCTGGTAGTATTTGGAAATTCTGAAGACAAACTGAACAGGCCTATACAGAATTCTCAAGCAAAATGATGTAGTCAGATCACATTAGTGCTCTGGTGGTGCATCACAAGAATAAAACTGAATGGTGACACTGCTTATAAGGAAAGAACACATCATGGTAGAGAACACAACACACATATTCCGTAATTTCACAGGGAAACCTTCCTAAAGTAACTACTCACCTTCTCAAAAGGAATATTCCTTAGTTTGCTGCTAATAAAGGTGTGAGATAATTCTGCTCTCTATGTTGGCAGATGTTCTGGAATGGTCTCTAAGGAAACTGATACTTCAGTAGAATTACTCTTTACAAGTAAATGTAGTCATACTGCATTTTGACAACTTCCACTACCAATTGTTCTGCTCTAAAAGACAAACGTCAAAATGATGTAGGACTGCATTTACCTGTAAGTGCTTACAAACATTGCTCAAGCCAGTTGCATCTCGGGAAATGCTTTTATAGCTGTGGCAAATACCCTTCTGTGATGTGTAATTCATACTATTTTAAATTATCAGGAGTTAAAATACTGCTTAAGATAGCCTATATCCTTAATACTATCTCAAGTGCTCTGCATTGTTTGTAAACACCTAAGCACGTTTGTCATCTTGCCTTTTAGTTTGGAAAAACATGCAGCCATTGGTTATTGTGACAGCTTTGAAATGCAAGTGTTCAAACCATTTAACTAATAAGTTGGTGTAAGCAAAATCAACATCTATTTTCTCTTAATATGAGGAGCCTGAATATAAACTGCTCAGCTACCTGTTTCTCAAAGGCATATAAATGGAAGGATGGATGCACCAGTTGCACTAGCATGAATTAAAATGAAAATATGCACTGAATGTGAGGGAAAAAAAATCATTATGTTCATTCAACTTCTCCTCAGCAACATTATATAAACAGAATTATGGCAAATATGTAATTTCTGCATCCACATCCAACAGCATATATGCCCTAAAAAAAAAAATTAAATATTTTGTTCATACTTTAGTTTAGTGAAACTGAATTCTGCTAACTTTTTTTTTTTTAAGTAGAAAGAATTTACTTTGTTCATCTGACTCCAGACTGACACTAGGGAAGTCATTATCCCATACTCCACAAACCATGTGCATCACTTCTAAATCACAATTACAATATTGTTTTGGAAAACAGAGAATATAAATCAAATTATTTCCCCCACACGGTACATTACGGGATTCCTGCACCATTCTATGGTACTGGCATACCATATTAAAAAGTGCTTCAAAAGGAGAAGTCAGCATCAGACAGCTTACACAGAACTCACCTTCATTACTCTACGACTTTCCAAAACCATATAACAGCTTCAGTATCTTTAGTTGCAGGTCTATATTACACTAAAACCAGAGAGAATGCAAAGCATAAATTATTGCATCCTTAGGAAGTGTGAACTAATTACAGTGTTACCTTGCCTATTACTCCATTGTTTCATAGCATTTAGGGGGATTCTCCGTGGTCATTTGCAGGTAGGTGAAAATGTTTTCTACTTGTGCAGCTGACTGACTGCAATCCAGCTCTGAATCACAAATAATAGAGCCACAGTTCACAAGTCCATCCCATGATTTCACCAGAAAGGCCCATTCAGAGCAATACACAAAGCCCTCTACAGCTCTATCCTCAGAGATCTGTCATCATTTCTTGTCAAAACTGGGGTTTATAGCTTGAGTCCCGTGGTAACCGCAGCAACACAATTTCTTCATCAGAGTTCTGCTGCTTTCAGCCAGAAAAAGGTACAGACTGAATGAATTTAGCTTAACTGTCAAAAGATTGTCTAGCCATGACTTTGATACAACTCCTTCCTGATTCTTTATTTAGACCTATGAGCAGTACTCATCACAGTTTTTTCATAGAAGCATAAGAGAAAAAAGGAATGTGCCACTTTTTGCATGGATTTAGTGAGTTTTATAAATTATTTCCATACTTCCTCCAGCTACTTCACAGCCCCCACCATTCCTGTATTTTACCTTATAATTTTGGGAGTTTTTTTCCTTTCATACAATCCCTTTTCCATACTGCACTATGTGAAAAGGATGCTGTAGTACTTTTTGCATCTGCTCATGTACTTCTTCATCAACCGCATTATAATTCTGTTGAATTTCAACACCTTAAACAGTGGAGTAGGGAAGATAATGAGGATCACCTTTTTTTCTTTTCAATACATCTTAAGAAAAAACAAACTATAGAGTAATTGATGGGGACTGAAAACTTCCAATACACTTTCACATTTGCTGTATAAAGTTCACTTCTTAAGTCCACTGCTCTGTATGATATAACTGCAGCTCACAGAAGGGAGACAAGTCGACTGACATGTAGGTAACTCCAGGAGCTGTTATACCAGCAGATAGGAACTGAAGGAATAATGTCAATCCAAGACCTACACTGGAGTCATCTAGCAGATATTGAATTTAATTGCACTCCCAAACAAACAAACAAAAAATGTCCCGTCTTATGTTGGTTTAGCAAGGATGGAGTTAATTTTCTCACTGGCAAGTGCTCCAGCCACACCACCCAAGTCAAAGAAGGCAAAGGTGGGGACTGGGAGAACGAAGAACTTGCCATGGTAGGAGAAGATCGGGTTTGAGACCATCTAAGGAACTTGAAGGTACACAAGTCCATGGGACCTGATGAGATGCATCCCCAGGTCCTGAGGGAACTGACAGATGAAGTGAGAGAGTGGCAGTGTGGTACTCAGTTGCCAGGACCCATCTCTTGTATGTCTTTGTAGGAAGCCACAGTTAGACTCTGTTCAGACCCAAAATAGTTACAAAGACACTTGCAGGAACTTCACAAGACAATTCAACCTTATTCTCATAAGGACAAAGAACTATGATTTTAACAGTAGTAACTGCCTGGAGGTACCTGCATTTCTCCTCTGATTTAGAGGAGGAGAGTTTGACCAGATACCTATATTGCACAGAGCTAAGATCAGGTGTGGTTAATGCTCTGATGACCTTGAGGTGGAAATGATGAGCATTAAATGAGCAATATCAGTTCTTCCTCAGATGAGGACTACAATGGGTAAATGGAATGAAATCATAGAACAATGTTTAACATGCAAAGTATTAAAAAATCCCATCAATGTCTTATCTTTGCTTTCATGCATATTCCCAGTCCCTAAATGCTAAGCGGGATTACTTATGCTTTAAATTTAAAGTGCATGCTCAGTTCCAGTATGCACAGTCAGCAACCCAGTTCCTCTTTTCAGCACATTTCAAAAGATGTGAACTGTTGAAGAAAACCCACACCATAATGATCTGAAGGCTGGTAACATCAGGAATGAGTGAAAACCTGAGACTTCTGCACGGCTTAGAAAAGGGAGTCAGAACTCTGAATAGTCTATTCCACCCCAGTGCAACTGTGCTGAAATGAAAGGATAGGGATGTTCTTCCAACATTCTAAATAACTTTGGTGAGGTCAGCTGTTGTCTTTGTGTCCTAATTAATTGCCTAGTACCTAAATTTCCCATTATAATTGACAAAACTCTTACAGCATGACGACTTCCCTCTTACCTTTCTTATGTGACTGCAACACCTCCAAGACCAGCCTGAAGCTGTCGGCTAAAGCAGTAACTCCTGTGTTTTCATCATTTTTGTACCATGTATGCATGAATGTATGTATATTTGCATGTATAAATATATCTCCCTCTGGCATAATTGACAGGCCCTAGAAATCCTCTCTGCTCTGCTGTTTTTGTTGTTTGTATGCTACTGAACAACATCTTTGGCGAAGCAAATCTCAGAATAAAAATAGCACATCTAATGAATCGAAGGGACTTTCTGTCAGATGGATTTCAATATGATACTAGTTTACTAAGCAGGGTTTGTATTACTAGGAAGTTCAACTTGTGAAACTGAGTAGAATATAGATTTTTCTAAGATAGGGTTAAACATGAGTTTTAGTGTAAACACTGGTGTGTCCTTCAGGTTTGAAGTTTAGCAATGATCTTACTGCTGTTTATTTTGTCAGGCAACTGGCACAACCACACTGTCACTGATCCCTTGTTCTTGGGCAGGCTTTGATATTGTAGCTACTTGAGCCAGTAAAAATCTTCCACAGGGCTCTCATCCAGCTCATCCTTTTAGTCTTTATTCAAGAAACTGAGATGCGTAAAGATTTTGGTTTTATTCTTTTGAACTTGAAACCATCAGTAGCTTGTATGTCTAAGATATACAGTCTGAAGAAACTTTGTGCTTGGTGGTAGTTCCACTTTAAGAAACAAAACAAAAAATTCTGGCTTTGTAGCAGATTAAAAATATATCACTGAGCTCAGACACAGCATAGTTTAGGCACAAAAACTCCAGTGACAATTTCAAGAGAAATAAAATATGTACTTAATCATTCAGGCAGTCTCACTGAGTTCCACTGATTTTTGATTAAGCAAAACAGACAGACAAATACAACTAACATTGTCCTTCCAAGCAGTGGCCACTGCCTGAAATCAGTCCTTCCTATTAACACTGGAGTTAATAGGCCCTTATCAAGAGAAAATCCTTATTTCATGGAAGACCTACTGTGCTTGTGTTATTCACATCATATTTCACAATTCTTGCTGTTTAAATCAGGGGCATTTTGCCAACATAGAAGGGTTGTTATTGTGGGTTTTTTTCTCATAATCACACTTCCTGTTGCTTCTAATATAACATCCATTTTAAATACACTCAATGGGTCAATTTTGCTCTCACTTATAAAGTCCACTCAATCTTCCATGAAAGGCTGTTTGGCTTGGTAATGATGCAGGAACATTTTTTAAGAAAGAGATTCAGGGAGAGGGTTTTGTTGTTTTTTTGGTTGGTTTGTTGTTTTTTTTTTTTAATTAAAGGTATTACATAGGATAAACAAGATTCTCAATGACAGCCTGCCCAATCCCTGTATTTTATATTAAGGAACATGCAAAGAACCTTATGCATAAAGGATGAAGAAGCTGAATGTTAGTCCCAGAATCTGCTGGGATGTGTGAAAATTGACAGAATTTCCTTTTTCATTTCCATGGAAAACTCCACAAAAGTTTGACTATCAGGAGTCAGTGCCCTCAAAAGTTTTCAGTGATCATCAAGGCACTTTTTTCTTTCTATATTACTCAGGTAAAATAAATATCTCCCTTCCATATGTCAAAAATGCACCTAAGGTGATCTGCAAGGTGAAAACCACTCCCCTAAATTTTGAAACCTGTAAAACACACTTTACACAGTTGCAGAATCTCATCTGCACTACAAAAAGACATTTTTTTGCCACATACCTTTTTTTTGTTGGTGGGACAAATGTAGAAATTGTCAATAACAGTGGCAATCCCAGGCTGTAGATTCAACTTTGTGTATAATGTCCCAAAATCTGAAGACCTGAAAGAAATCAAACATCTGTAAGTGCTCTCTTCTAAAGGGTTCAGCATCGAAACTCTGCAAAAAAAGTCCCACTTTGTGGCACTAACTACCCATTTTCAGTGTTTCTAAGCAATCCCTTTGTTCTTTTCAGTGCTCATTAGTTACTTAAAGAAATCTGCCACTACTAAGTATATTATTCTAGGTTTGAAAGAAACATGGCTAGTTCTGTCTGTATTTTGCAGTTCTGTGCAGTGCAAGGGTTTGGTTTTTTTCTGTGCAGTGACAGAAGCCCAAAATGTACACCTTTCCATCACCACCCACAGAGTGGGAAAAAAGAGCTATGAAGAGCACAGGCTCATTGGCAAGTACTAACAGCACCTCCTCAGCTATGCAGAAAAAGAAGAGCTGACTTCAGAGCTTGCTGTTGCGTAAGAGAAGAATCTGGCCTGAGATCTGGAAGACTCAAATTGGACCTCTACCAGAATCAGTACTTGATAAAGGTATCCATCTACTCCTCCAGCTCTTTTTTTAGAGGATCACTGAATTTTGAAGGAATAAAATCAAAGTCGGTGCTTGGCCATCAGTATGTCACACACACACACACACACACACACATCTATGAGTATTTCAAATGTGAGCACTCTGATGAATTTGTTTCATACTCCTGAAAAATCTGCAGTGAAAAATGGCATCAGTGCTACTTATTTGTATTGCCAATGTCCATTATAAAAAGAACAGACAAGTAAAATGTTAGTATAAGAAAATGTCGGTGGAATTCAAAGGAAGTCACATTCGAATTTAAATCTCTTTGGATGAAACCTTGCTTGTTCTATTTAGGATCAAATTGTATCATGCACTTTTTTCCTATTTAAAGTTATTCATTTTGCATTTGGAAAGGGGCTCATATGTGTAAGGCACTTCACCAAGAAGCACTCCCTAGGGCAGAGAGCTGGTGTGAGGACTTCCACCCACTCTATAGCCCTTTCTTTCGACTATCTCCTTTACAAACAGGGCTGAAGCTACCTGCCCAGTACCTCAGCAGAATTCAAACAACTGGGAACATGCAACAGCTCTCATGTCCAAGAGAAGGAAGAGGAGACCTCTGTCCCTCCCAGTGTGACACTGAGGATTGCCTGTGCAGTGATTTCTGCCCTGTAAGCCCCAATTCTACCACATTCATTACTCTGAGGTGGGCTCTCCTTGCCCAGGGGAGTCACTGCTGAAGTTTGTGGGAACGTGACTGAATACAAGGAGAGAGAAAAATGACAAACCAAATCCCTGACCAAGTGTGTACACCTTGACAGGTAGCCCACTGCCTGAGGTATCCTCCAAGGCATGCAAGGCAGATTAGTCCCTGAGGGGCTGGTGCCTGCACGAGGCTGCCGTGACAGCCCACCTGTGTCCCAGTCACACCAATGATGTCACCTAAGTCAAAGGGCACGTTGTACGAAGGCAGAGGTGTCTGTTGTGCTTTCACACATCCAGCTTTCCTCATGGGACAAGAACTTTCAGCTGCTGTCATGGAGCAGCTTTCTGTGTCTTTGGCATCACTAAGCATAGTGGATGGCAGAGGATGATATGCCAGGATCAGGTCCTAAGAGATACCAAGTAAAGAAGAGTTTATGTCTACCTTGTTTTTCTTCCTTCTCTAGCAGTCAAAAAACCCAACTGCTCACACACAGAACACACTCAGAGCCCAAAGCTGAGAGTTTAACCATTTCATAGTGATCTCTGAATGGATTTGATCTGGTTTCCCCCTTACCCCTCAGTGTTGCTTCACCTGCAGACATACAGCAATGCATTACAGAAGTTAATGGAATCGTTACCACTCAGTTTTGACAAATAATTATGTAAAAATCTGATACATACAACTGCAGTGTACTAGGTGCTCAGCCCAGAACTAATTAAAATCCTAAGGGGAATAGGAGGTACAGTGCTAAACTTAATTTGCCAGCAGTGTTTGAAGAAAAGAAATTAAAGCAAAGACTAAAATACTAACTTCAGCCAAGTGTAATGAAATCATACAGAGCAAGTATGTATGATGGAAACATAACCTGGTCTATTCTCTTTGAGGAAAGAATATCAGGTCAGTGGCTTGCCCAGTAATAACATCCTGAAATAATTCTCTGAACCTTAAAGATGATTCAATTTACTTGGAAGAGGCAGTTCCAGGATTAATACAATGGGACCACTGGAAAGTGACACCGCAGGAGGGATGGTGGCAGCAACTGTATCAAGGTACGAAAAGAATATGGGCAGGAAGCCCAAAGAGGATAAGCCATTTCCAAGACAAAAATTTCCAGTCTAAAACTTCCTCTTCTAATTCTTGTGACTTTTAAAAAGTACTGCAAGAAAGGAATGAGGTTTAAAAACAATAAGAGTGCACTACGGTTACTATGGTATTTTCAGACAAAGGCAGAAAAACTATATAGTCAAAAATCTTTTATTTTCATCTACAAATTAGCAATCTCAGGGGGGGAAAAACCCCCATCCAGTTCAAACCTGAGACAACAGGTTAACACATCTCCCTAAAAGTACACCACGTCTAAGCATAAAGACCCAGACTGGAAGCAGATCTGCAGATAGGATTAGGGAGGATGAATTCTGGGATCTCAGTGCACGCCTATTTCAATATATTACAAAATGTGCTTTGTACCAAATGAAGGAGGGGACAAGTCCTATGGTCTTCCAGTCATAAAGAGATTTTTTTGTCAGAAACCAAACTTGTGCTGTGTCAAAAGTGTTAAGGAGATGGAAAAAAACAAAACACATAAGCAAGTGATATAGAGGCTGTCCCCTCCTGCTGGGTATCCACCTGTGCACTACAGGCTACAGATTACAAGGATGTGTCCTTGTAGAGCAGAACTCAGTGGAGAATTCCCAGGAAACACATCTTCCAGTATTCAGGTGATGGGTGACAGAACCATCAGATGGTGGAATGGCATGATTCCTCATGTACTGATGCAGACGTCACACAACCTGAGCCTGGCAGAGCCTGTGGTTGGGTGACAGTTTCTTTGAAAGTGTGTACATCTGCTGAAATCCGTGCCATTCTTTTTTTTTTCTTTAAGGAAAAATCAGTTGTCACTGTAAGAACAGCATGTTCAAATAACAATCCTCAAAATCATACAGTGATATTGCAGCACAGACGTACTTAGGTATTTTTAGCTTGTTTTAATACTGTGAGATCAAAAAACAGGAAAACTTCCAAGTGGTACAAATATATACCCTCATGAAATAAAACTCTCAAAGTCCCTAAGCTCTGAGTAAATTTGGGTCTCATCCTTAAAAATGTAACTTTTTAATATTTGAGCTAAAATAAATCTATGCTTAACAGAAGTTGGAACTGTATCTAAACACGGATCTGGACATCTTCCAACAGAAATATTGAAAAAGAAGAAGAAATTCAACAGATACGAAAAGAGACATAAACCAAATGTTTGGCTGTCTAAACTTCACTGTCATTATACAGTTCTCCACTGCTGACTCACACCTATGATTCAGTATTGCTCATTGTTAGTTGTTTTTTCCAGCTTATATTTACAAGTAGATATTAATACATAAGGAACACTAAAATGAATACAGTAGGATGTTAATGAAGATTCTTGGAGATGAAAGTTTCATTCACAAGTCAAATTTCATACTCAAAGAAAACACCAACTGCAAAAAATGCTTTCTCCTCTTTTTTTTCCCAACTGAAGAGACACACTAGAAAGAGAATGGCTTGAATGTTCAACATGCATGTTCACCAAATTTCCTCTACCTTCTCTTTTTGAAGATTAACTCAAGTTCCATTCTAGTAAAATGAACCAAACTGTACGAGCCCCATTAGTTTAAAATCCTGGAAGACAACAATGAAGAGATTTCAAATGACTCATGGATTACTTAACCAGCGAAACAAAAAGAAAGTCTTTGAAAAAAAGTACAAAAGATCTGCTGGTTTAGATCATTGGTAAGTTGTTGAAAAAAAAGATTCATTGAGATGCATGTTACAGAATCAAGGAAGAGTGGACCTGTGCATAAAACTCACTGGACTGCTTCCCACTTAATTTTCTCCAGACTGTATTGCAAATGTTGTCTTCTCGCCTTCCCCTCCTTTCTGTCGACAGAACAGTCCAGGATTTACAGCATGAACTTTAAAATGCAGGAGAAATTATTTTAGGTTCTTGCTCTATAACAGACTTACATCTAACAGTAGGATCTCCTTTGTGCTCTAGTCCCTTACCTGAAAAACAGACACAACACCACTTACTATACCTCAAATACCTGTAAGGAGCACAAGTCCTGTGAGGAGTGGCTGAGGGAGCTGGGGTTGTTTAGCCTGGAGGAGGCTCAGGGGAGACCTCATCACTCTCTACAACTCCCTGAAAGGAGGTTGTAGCCAGATGGGCATCGGTCTCTTCTCCTAGGCAATCAGCAGTAGGACAAGAGGGCACAGGCTTAAGCTCTGCCAGGGGAGGTTTAGGTTGACATTAGGAAGAAATTCTTTACAGAGAGAGTAATCAGACATTGGAAAGGGCTGCCCAGGGAGGTGGTGGATTCACCATCTCTGGAGGTGTTTAAGAAGAGACTGGATGTGGCACTGAGTGCCATGATCTAGTTGACAAAGTGGTATTGGGTCATAGGTTGGACTTGATCTCAGAGGTCTTTTCCAACCTGGTTGATTCTGTGATTCTGTGGGACAGCAGAGCAGTGAAGAACTGGCTTATGGAGGATCTAAAACAGATACATCAGAAGTTCCACCAACAAATGCCAGGACAAACCTACTGAAAGGAAAGTAGCCAGAGGAATATCATTAAAGAAGTTGAACGCTAACATATCTTTTTCACTTAAACAGCACAGAAGACTTCAAGGGCTCTTACATGTCCAATGTGGAAATTGCAGAGACTTTGGTTAGCCTCATAAAATCCCATCAAACAGCAACAAAAACCCTCCAAAACCCCAAAGCCTTTCTTCAGAGTACAAACACGTTGTAACATTGGATTCCAATACTTGACTCATATGTTGAGGAATTCATGCAGATGAAAGCTTCTTCAAAGGCTGTAGAAGAGTAGGGCTCCCAGCAATCCAATTAACACCCAGCAATCCAATTAACAGATTACTCCTCAGCTATCAGCTTTGCTGGAGTACTTTCTGGAAATACCTCTCTCCACATTCCAGAAAAGTTGAGCCTTTTGGAAGTTACATATTTTTCATCTCAAAAACAGAAATATAGAAATGCTTCTTCCTTAATCCACTTTTACACTAAAGAATCAATGGCGTTGGCAAGAGGTAACAAATAAATAGTTTAGTAACTTCACATTTAGTCAATACAGATTTTACCTTCTTGTTCCAAAAGCACCACAAAGGTGAACGTGTCATGTTTTCACTAACAATCCATTATTGATAACATAAGTTGATCACATCTCTGATAGCATATATACTTTCAAGAGCTGTGGATAATCATAACAGCCATTTTAGCTGAAGTGACCCACTCTGTAATGCTCTGCTGTGTACAGAACATGGTGCAACTTTGCGTTTCTACAGCTATAGAGACTCCTTACAATTTTTATAGTTATTAATATCCATTTATATTTGATTGTAAAATGCTGACTTTAAAAATTCCACATGAAGAAAACCAAATGAAACCAAAAAACTGCATTTATATTCAGTGAGAACTCTAAGAGGATCATAAACATCACAAATACTGGAACCGGACTTTTATTCAATGCATTAAACATATCCAATTCAACTGGCCAGACTGGGAGGGAAAACCAGTCCTCTGTAGCCAATAACAAAAGTAAGGATTACCATGCCAGGTGACTTTAGAGAGTCAGATCCTTCCTCAGGAACTATGGTTCCTAACTTCCCAGCGACAAACTAAGGCACAACCTTATTTTGCAATGCAGTTAAACCTCAGAGTAAATGGCCAGTCTCTTCGCGAACGAAGAACTGGGGAAGGTTTTTACACCTTCCAGCCTGCGCATTGGATTTTTTAGGTGAGACACAGTGTGCGCGGAACTGAGCCCACCCTTTAATCCTGAGGTTCATCTGCCGGGGCCAAGCACGCTTGGACGGTGGCAGCGAGGTCCTCAGGACGTAGATGGATTGCCTTACAGGGCT